TAGCTTCTCCTTCAGCAAATTAAAGGCCTGCAAACATGCAGAATAAAAGTTAAATTTTACATCCTTGGCAAGAAGATTAGATAGAGGTTTTGCAATATTTGAGAAATCTTTAATAAATCTTCTATAAAATCCTGCATGGCCAAGGAAACTTCTGACTGCGCAAACCGTATTTTGGGGAGGTAATTTTTCAATCACTTCCACTTTTGCTTTATCAACCACAATCCCTAGCTCAGAGATCTTGTGTCCAAGCATGATACCTTCTCGTACCATAAAATGGCACTTCTCCCAATTCAGCACAAGATTTGATTCCTCACAATTTTGTAAAACTAACGAAAGATTTTGCAAACAAGATTCAAAGGTTAGTCCATACAATGTAAAATCATCCATGAAAATTTCTAGAAATTTTTCAGTCATGTTGGAGAAAATAACCATCATGCAGCATTGGAAAGTAGCCGGCGCGTTGCATAAACCAAATGGCATATGTTGATAAGTGAACGTGCCATAAGGACAAGTAAATGTTATTTTCTCTTGGTCCTCTGGAGCAATAGGAATTTGATAATAACCAGAATAGCCATCAAGAAAACAGTAAAATTTATTACCCGTTAATCTCTCTAACATCTGATCAATAAATGGCAATGGGAAATGGTCTTTTCTAGTGGCAGAATTTAATCTTCTATAGTCTATACACACACGCCATCCAATTACCATCCTAGTGGGGATAAGTTGATTATTTTCATTCTTCACTACAGTCATTCCCCCTTTCTTAGGCACTACTTGCACAGGACTAACCTAATTACTATTAGAGATAGGATAAATAATACATGCATCGAGTAATTTTACCACTTCCTTTCGTACCACTTCTTGCATGGCAGGATTTAATCTCCTTTGTGGTTGTATTGTTGGCTTGAAATTCTCTTCCATGAGGATCTTATGCATGCAGATGGAAGGACTTGTTCCCTGATATCAGCAATTGTCCATCCCATAGCCTTCTTGTGCTTTCTCAAAATGTCTAGTAGTGACTTCTCCTCCAAATATGTCAAAGATGCAAAAATAATCACTGGGTAAGCATCTTTATCTAGAAAAGCATATTTTAAATGTGAAGGAAGAGGTTTAAGTTCAAGTTTAGGAGCCTCATTAGGAGTTTTATGCAAATCCTCCTTTAACTCCATATTATTATCAATCAGAGACTCCTTCGTATCTTAAGCACGAGTCTTCATCTTCTGTTGTGCTCGACTCCGTTAGACATCTCTCCAAAGAATCCTTCTACAAAACTTCTTATCTCAAGCACGAGCCATAAGTTAAGCTTCTTATCTCAAGCACAAGTCTTCATCTTCTATTGTGCTCGACTCTGTTAGACATCTCTCCAAAGAATCCTTCTACAAAACTTCTTCTCTGTGATCACCTACAATCTCACCAAAACTGTTAGAGTGAAAACAAGATTCAATATAAAATACAGTAGGATTTTTCATCACTTTATGGACATCAAACACTATTTCTTCGTCATTTAGTCTCAAGATTAATTTTCCTTGTTGCACGTCTATCAAAGCATAAGCTATCGCCAAAAATGGATGTCCCAAAATTAGAGGCACCTCCCGGTTCTCTTCCATATCAAGAACTACGAAGTCCACTGGAAAGATAAATTTGTCGACCTTTAACAAAATGTCTTCAACAATGCCTTTAGGTCATTTGATTGATCTATTAGCAAGCTGGAGCAACATGTTTGTCTCTTTCATTTCTCCAAGTCCTAGCTTCCTGAAAATTGATAAAGGCATTAAATTAATACTAGCACCTAAATCACACAATGCTTTATCAAATAATGAATCTCCCAATGCACAAGGTATAGTAAAACTCCCTGGATCTCTCAGTTTATGAGGTAATTTATTTTGCAGAATGGCCCTACATTCTTCAATGAACATAACTATCCCATGCTCCTTGATCTTCCGCTTGTTATAAAGGATATCTTTTAAGAACTTTGCATAACTAGGCATTTGTGCTAAAGCTTTAGCAAATGGAATATTTATTTGCAATTTCTTAAAGATCTCTAAAAGCTTTGAAAATTGTTGATGTAGTTTATCCTTTCTAATTCTATTAGGATAAGGAAATTTAGATACATCTTTTTCAACAACAATAAAATCATAATTTGACATACCTTTTCCTTTACCTCTTGCAATTTCCTTTACCTTAGTCTCTATCTCTTTTTCTGAATTCACTTTCTTTTCTTCAATAGAGGCCGGTAACTCAGCTTCACTTTCCACCGTCTTTTGTGATGCTTTGTAACGCCCCACTTGAGGTACATAGTTAAGTTATGGTATATTGATTAAATGTTTATTATTTTGCTTTTATTTAGGTCGATATATTGTTAATATTGGTTGGTTGGCCTTAGTTGAATTTTTGTTAAAGTTATTTTGAGAAAAATGTAGAGAAAATCCCTTAAACTTTCATTAGGGGTAAAATGGTCTTTTCACTCAAAATTAGTTGAAATTGTGGGGAGTGAAAAGAGATAGAATTTCATAGAGAATGCATTAAAAATGAGGGCATTATGGTCATTGACTAAGGGACATAGATGGAATTTCAAAGAAAGAATAAGGGCATAATGGGAAAGTGTGGTTATAAACTAAAGTGTTAAGGGTTTGAAACCCTTATTTTCTTCATTCCACCGCCACACTCCTCCCCCATTTTCTCTCAAATTTTCATTCAATCCTCCAAGGATTTTGAGGGCTTTTAAGTGGTTTTTCATAGGGCTTTGATTCTAGGTATCAAAAGGTAAGGATTCATACTCTTTATCTATGATTTATTTGTGTAAAGGTTGAGTTCTTATAAAGTTTATGCTTAGGGTTAAGAGAAGATTGGAATCCAACAAGAGTAGAGAGTTTAGGAGAGACTACTCAAGCACAAGGTAAGTAAATTCCACTCAAAATCCAACTCAAGCTAAAATTTAAGAATTCAAGTGAGTAGAGATTTATTTTAAATATGCATATGTTGTGATTATTGAGAAATTGAGATGAGATGTATGATGTATTATGCTTATTGTTGGATATATTTGAATATGAGAAGTATATGTGATGATTTGATGATGGGTTGAAATTGGAAGAATTGGAGAAATTTTTGTGGAGTGTGTTTGCCATGTAGGTATGTGATGCTATAAGAGAGTTTTTCTCTCATTTTGGATGGTTTGAGAACTAAATAGAATGATAATTGAATTAGGGTTTGTTTATGCATATGAGTTGTTTGATGAAATGCCTAAGTGAAATCTGCCCTGTCACTGCCGTGACTTTCTAGGTAATTTTTGGGCGACTTACGGTTTGAACTGGGCTGAGACCAAAACATAAAAGTTGTAGCCCTGTCTCTAAGCTTTAAAACGAGACCAAAACCGTAGCAATCCGAGATGTATAACTCAAGTTATGCCTTCTTGAGTGTGACCTGCGCAGAATGGCAGTTTTGATGCAATATTGCATTTGTGCATTTCAAAAGTGCATTAAGTAAGAAACTTTAAGCATGAACCATCCTTATGCATTAATTGTGCATTGAGAAGTAGTTTGAGAAAGAGTAAAGAACTTTGTGAATGGGCTACTCTAAAAGTAAAGAGAATGAGAAAATCTAAGAATGGTTGGTGCTTTGTGAACTCCAACCGGAAGTTACGAAAAGTGGGTTGGTGCTTTGTGAACTCCAACCGGAAGTCACGAAGAGTGGGTTGGTGCTTTGTGAACTCCACCCGGCCGTGCCTCCGGTAAGATGAGGCCGTGACATTCAAGTGAGAAAGAATGAGAAAATATGAGAAAGAATAGAGGAAGAGAATGAGTAGAAGTCACGAAGAGTGGGTGGGTGCTTTGTGATCTCCACTCAGCCGTGCCTCCGGTAAGATGAGGCCGTGACATACAACAGAAAGTTAATAGAAAAGAGCTATGTGAAAGAGAAACAGAAAGAGAAAATAAATGAGATGAGAAGAGTGTAAGGAAAGAATTAAGAGAAAGAGTTACGGGGATAGACGAGTAGAGGATTTACTTACTGAGCATTATTTTGTGCTCACCCCGTTGTTTTTCTTTGTGTTTGCAGGATCTAGGTGAGGACGCGGTCGGATGGGCATCGGCAAGCGAGGAGTAATAGCTACACTGTCCACTGTTTTTGATAACTTTTACTTATGATGCCTTACTTTGTATAAAGAAAGATTAAATGTATTAAAAGAAAATTTTGGGCCCATTTACTTTTGCTAATATAAATATATTTACTTGATGTATTTCTATACGTATCCTAGTATGAAGCAGTTATTACATGCTTCTTCACCAATCACTTTTCCATCCCTCAAGGTTATAGCCTTACATTGCTCTGTGTCACTTGGTAAATGCCCTTGCTGTCTACCCGAAATGATATTGGCCAACTGGCCAATTTGAGCTTCTAAATTCTTGATGGAAGCCTCTTGATTCTGAATTCTTGTCTTTCAGTACTCAAGAACTTCGCCATCATCTCCTCTAAATTTGATTTTTTCTCTTGAGATTGAAAACTTGGCGGTGGAGGTTTCACTTGATTGTTGTTACTCCAAGAGAAATTTGGGTGATTCCTCCACCCCAGATTATATGTTTCACTATATGAAATTATTAGGCCTGCGAAAATTTGAAACATAGTTAGCTTGATTAGGCATAGAATTAACATCAAACATGTTACCTGATTGACAGTCATGGTTAGGGTGATCTTCACCATAAAAATCATACATAGAAGCAACTATTGCAGGTTTTTGCATTTGAAGTCCATCAATCTTCTTATTTAACACTTGCATTTGTGCTGCCAAAGCTGTGATAGCATCTATGTTATAAACACCCGACGTTCTTCTCACAGGCAACCTCTCTATCGACCATTGATAAGAGTTTGAAGCCATTTCCTCTAGCAATTCATAAGCTTGTTCTAGTGTCTTCTTACCTAAAGTACCACCCGCAACAACATTGATCATATTCCAAACTTCACAATTAAGACCATTATAGAACGTCTGGACTTGCAGCCAAACAGGTAATTCATAGCGGGGACATCTCCGGAGCATGTCCTTGAACCTTTCCCATGCTTCATATAATGATTATGTATCCACCTGCATAAACATAGTAATATCATTACGTAACTGTGCAGTCTTTACAAGAGGAAAATACCTACTCAGGAATTTTTGTGTCATCTGCTCTTAGGTTATAATCGAGCTTGCTAGTAATGAGGTCAACCAACTCTTAGCTTTGTCTCTTAATGAAAATGGGAACAATCTTAGTCTTATAGCTTCATCGGAAACTCCATTGTGCTTAAAAGTATCACAAATCTCAAGGAAATTTGCAATATGTGAATTACAATCCTCATGTGCCAAACCACCAAACTACACTGACTGCTGAATCATCTGGATGATTGCTGGCTTTATCTCAAATGTGTCGGCAATGATCACTGGTCATCAAATGCTCAATGTCGCTCCATTTAGAGATGGGGTAGAGTACTCGTTTAGTGTACGAGTTGCTGGTAGTGTTCCATTATTTGGGTTATCGTGATCACCTATGATCTCCCTTTTGATTGCTCTCTTTCTTGCGTGAAAAGTGCACTCTATCTCAGGATCAAATGCTAGTAAAATCTTTTTAGAGGCTTTGGTCATACACTAGCAGAAACACTTATTGGTTTCCAATAAAAAAATCTCCAAGTAATAGGTAATCTTAAAATAATCACAAACAATCTAATGGTCCCCGGCAATAGCGCCAAAAACTTGATGCAACCAGATCAACTCTAGCAAGTGCACTAGTCGTGTTAGAGTAATAAAGTGATGAGTTGAGTATCGTCCCATAGAGATCTAAGCAATTATTTGTAATTACCTGAAATTACCTACACGTTATATGAGAAAACAAAATTTTAGAGTGTAAAAGTAACGGATTAAAAATAACTAAATTAAACAAATAAATAATGTGAAGAATTTTGCAATATTAATGAAGTTAAGGTACATATTTCCCCATAATTATGCTTGACAACTACTCTTAATACCCGTTTGTGCTATGAATTGGTAGGATTCTTCTAAAGCCAATTATCCTTATTCAGGCATAATATTTTACTTAATATAGATCCCTATCCGATTACTATGAAATTAAGAAGCATAAATTCATCAATCCCTTATGACTAATTCGCCCTATTCGGTAATGAATTAGATGGTCCACAAATTAATCCTAGAATCTCTATTCGATTACTTCTAGTTTTAGTACGCTGTGCAATGTTATTCCAATAAAACAATTATGAATATGAATTAAGCAATAAACCCTAACTTCTCTATTCAAAACACTGTAGCTGCATCTTGCAAGCACAGAGATCTTCTACGTGATAAACAGTATGAAAATTTGATATCTTTAATTTCTAATGGTGATCTTCATATGGGACGAGGTTTGAATCAAGAATGCACTATCAAACGACCAGGAGATACACGTTGGGGTTCACAAATAGGGACAATTCATAGTGTCATAAATTTATTTTCTTTTGTTGTTGATGTGCTTAGGGTGATTGAGATTGAAGGAGACGATTGGCAAACCAAAAGTCAAGTAAGGAGTTTATTACGAATCATGGAGAATTTTGAATTCGTCTTTTTGTTATTCTTATTGAAAAGAGTATTGGGAATCACAAATGAATTGCCGCAAGCATTGCAAAGAAAAGATGAGGATCTTTTTAATGCCATAAAATTTGTACAAATTTCAAAGCGTCGATTGCATAAAATGAGAAATGAAGACACTTGCTTCGACATATTGTTAAAAGAAACTTCTGATCTGTGCAAAGATAATGACATGCCAATCTTGGAGAATATGGAAGATAACTTTGGAAGGACGAAATGGGGTATTGCACCAATTACGAATAAACATCATTTTAAGGTGGAATTGATGTATATAGTTTTGGATAACATTCAAGAAGAACTCAATAATCGTTTTGATGAAGTAAATATGAGGTTGCTTCAATGTATGGCATCTCTTGATCCAAGTAAATCTTTTGTTGCATTTAAAAAGATAGATTACTTGAATTTGCAAAGTTTTATCCTGGCGATTTCCTCAACATGATATTTTGTTGCTCGATGATCAACTTGAAAACTATTATAAGGATGCTAGCACTATTGCCAATTTCGCTCATGTCAAAGGGATTGCCGACCTTGCTAAAAAAATGGTTGAGTTTAAGAAGGATGTTGCTTACAACAAAGTTTTCTTGCTTACTAAATTAGCATTAGTTTTGTCTCTGGCTACTGCAACAGTAGTTGAAAGGGTGTTCTCTTCAATGAATCTTGTGAAGAATAGTTTGCGTAATCGAATGGGAGAGGAGTGGATGAACAATTGCTTGGTGGTTTACATTGAAAAAGAAGTTTTGCTACAATTGAAAATGAAGATATCATTGAAAACTTTTAGAATATATCGAAGCAGAATATCATGTTAAATTGAAGATCTTCAGGTATACTATTCTAACTTGCTTTCATCTTCAAATAATCGATATTCATATATTCGAAATTTTCAAGTATACCATTCTAACTTAATTTTTTGGTCTATCCGCAGAGGATGTGTGGATCTTTAATCTAGATGGTTGAGTTTTGATATTAACGTTTGGATTTGGAGTTATACAGCCTAAAGTTTGACTGCTTCTCTTGTGATTTTAACCCATCTCTTTGTAAACTTTTATGTTACTTGTGTTAGAGTTGTAATTGACCTCTAAATTTGTGTAGAACATTTTTGGTGGATTGTGGTTGTTGTAAACTCTTTTGATTATATTGGATTTAAATTCTCGTGGTTTTTTGCTCTCTTTACATTGAAAAGGTTTTTCCACGTAAACATTTTCTTGTGTTTCAGTTTGAACTAAGGATCGATTAAAGAAAACAAATAACTAAAAGGAAACACAAATTCAGAATGAAAGATGAAGGAAGGAATAAGAGACAAAGGTTAGATTTAGAGAGAAATATGAATGTATTGATGACTTTCCCTTTCACTTTACATGTTAATTATAAGTGTGTTTATATACAGTTTAGAATGTAATCTTGTATAATCAAAGTTGCAGATATTGTGGGATGCAGATTGCAGTTTTGAATTAATCTGCTGAACTGGTCTTCTGAAGATTCTGGGGAGAGAAATTTGCCTTCTGTTTGAGGTAGTTTTGAGCTCAATCAACATCCCCCCGCAAGCTAATGGTGCAGAACAAACTATCAGCTTGGACCTTAACAACTTGAATCGTGTAGACGAGAGACCTTTAGTAAAGATATCGGCTGGCTAATCAGTTGAAGAGATGAAGTGAACAGAGAGTTGTCCTCGTGCTAGACGTTCTCGAATGAAATGATAGTCAATCTCAATGTGCTCGGTCCGAGTATGGAAAATCGGATTCGCCATGAGGTATTATGCCGAGAGATTGTCACACCAAAGCGTAGGTGGATGAGGAGGGAGTGCATAGAGATCACGCAGGAGATATTCAATCCACATGAGTTCAACTGTGGTGTCAGCGAGGCACTTGTACTCAGCCTCTGTTCTTGAGTGAGCAACTATGTGTTGTTTTTTGGAACACCAAGAGATTAGGTTGCGACCGAGAAAAAACAGTAACCACCAACCGATCTATGGTCATCATGATCACCTGCCCAACTAGCATCAGAAAAGGCGTGCAAAGTAATTGATAGACTTCAAGTAAGATGTAGACCAAGGCGAGGAGTCTCAGCAAGGTAGCATAGTATGCGCTTGACAAACTGCCAATGTGAAGTAGTAGATGCATGGAGAAATTGACAAGCAGTGTTAACAGGTATGCAATGTCTGGTCGAGTTAGTGTTAAGTATTGGAGTGCACTAACTATGCTCCGATAAAGAACGAGATCTGGAAATGGCTCACCATGTCAAATAGAAAGAGGCTCATCCGTGGTGCAGGGGGTGGAAACAGCCCGAGCTTTTGTCATCTTTGCACAAACCAGAATCTCATGAGTGAATTTTGCTTGATGTAGGAGAAGTCCATCGGAGGTGGGCTAAACTTCTATGCCAAGAAAATAATGGATAGGGCCTAGATCTTTGATAGTGAACTCTCGTTGAAGTGATTGTAGTAGACTGGAAAATGGTACTGTAGGGGATCCAGTGAGAATGATGTCATCTATATAGACTAAAATGATGATAGTGTATTCAGTAGTGTGAATGACGAACAATGAGGAGTCTGCACTAGAAATTTTGAACCCGAGACTTGTAAGATACGAACTAAGTCTTTGGTACCAGGCTCTAGGAGATTGTTTGAGCCCGTAAAGTGATCATCGGAGACGACACACATGATGGGGGCTTGTTAGGTCTACAAACCCCTGAGGTTGTACCATGAAAACTTCGTCGTTCAGATGGCCATGTAGAAAAGCATTGGAAACATCAAACTGGTGAATTAACCATCCTCGTGAATAAGCGAGGGCTAGGACAGTGCGAATGGTGACTAGTTTGGCCACTAGACTGAAAGTTTTGCTATAGTCAATACCTGGATGCTGATGGAAACCCTTGGCTACCAATCGGGCTTTGTACCATTTGAGAGAGCTGTCTACATGCAGTTTTACTTTATACACCCATTTGCATCCTATTGGTTGAGCATGTGATGGACGAGATACGAGATCCCATGTCCCATTTTTTATCAAGGTTGTATATTCTGTAGCCATAGCAGCACGCCACTTGGGGTCACGAGAAGCTTGAGTGTAACATGAGGGCTCTGTGTATGGGTGAGCTAAAACTGTTAAGGCGTAAGTATGTTGACGGTTGAGAGTCTGGCGAGATATAGTATCATTTTTCAGGTGGGTAACCATTGAGTGGCCAGGAGCAGAGGAACGGATGGTCGTGGACGAAGGACGCCTAGGTAGAGACTGATATGATTCTGGGTGAGTTGATGATTAAGGCTGTGAAGGGTTGGTATCCATTTGGGGTGATGCTGAGGATGGTGGGGCCGAGAGAGATTCACTTGGTAAATGTGGACCTAGTGGAGTTGGCGGGCCTGGTTGTGTCGGTGAAGCAGTAGATGAGACTGTAGCATTGACCAGCAGAGGAGGGAGAGGCAGCATGATTTCATAGGTAAAGGTCGGTGCAGTTAGTGTGGAGGATGTCATGGTGCTTAAAGGAAATGATGTCTCATCAAAGACAGCATCTGCAGCAATGTAGAATTTTTTTATTGCTGGGATAATAGCAATGATAGCCTCGATAACCAAGAGGATACCCAAGAAAAAGGCATGCTTGAGTGCGTGGTGCCAACTTGTGTGGAGCATAAGGTCGAAGATACGGGTACATTGCACAACCAAAGACCTTTAAGTGAGAAATATCATGAGGGTGTTGGAATAGGACCTGCCAAGGAGTGATATTACCGATGACTGGGGAAGGAAGTCGATTAATAAGAAAAATCGCTGTTTCAAATGCAAATTCCCAAAAGTGTAAGGGAACTCCAGCTTGTGTTAAGAGAGCAAGGCCAGTCTCGACAATATGACGATGTTTGCGTTCAACTGTTCCGTTTTGGAATGGGAGTACAGACATGAAATGCGCTGATGTATCCCATGCGCTATAAGGTGAGCACGAAAAGCTGAAGAAAGAAACTCAAGCGCACCGTCGCATTGTATTGCCTGTATCTTATGTTAAAGTTGATTCTCCACAAATTTATGAAAAGAAATAAAAATATCAAGAAACTGTGTGCAACTATTAAAGGGATAAAACCATGAAAATTGGGAAAAATCATCAATAAAACATACATAATATCTATAATTATTGAAAGATGTTACAGGAGACAGGCCATAGATATCAAAATGGACTAGTTGAAGTGGGCGAGTAGCCCTTGATTGCGTAGGAGAATGATGATGGCAGTGGCTTTTACTAAGAGCACAGGCCATCCAATTTATTTTTAGGATCCTTGGAAGAAACATTATTTGTGGAATGCAATAGACGAATAGTAGTTTTAGGGACGGCATGTCCTAAACGATGATGCCATAGATTAAATTTATTTGGGTTGGTGCAGGAAGCTGTAAGAATTGAAGGTGGTGACACTAGTTTTAAGGGTAAGACACGGTATAGTCCACAATCAAATTTGCCGTGTAAGAGGGTCTGACCCGTATGGAGAGAAATCGCAAAGAAATAGTTAGGATAAAATAAGAAAGCACAGTTGTTGTCTTTTGTGAATTGAGAGACAGATAATAATTTTTTAGCAATTGAGGGAACAACTAAGATATTGGAAAGACGATATGGAGAACTAGGAGTGGGTTCGATTGTACCTGTGTGAGTGATAAGAAGGGAAACACCATCACCCACAGTGAGTTGTTGGGGGCCCACATAGGGAGACACATTGGATAGTGCAGCAGGATGGTCAGTGACATGGTGAGAAGCACCCAAGTCCATGAACAAATTGTCAGCAGCAAAAGCAGACGGCAGAGGAGGAATTGTTGTAGAAGGAGCTATAGGTTGTTAGAAAGAGGTATAATAAGCTTGCAGTGGTAAGTTGTAGTGTGTAGGTTGTTGGTTGTGGGCTAGAGTATATTGATTGAAAAAATAATGGGCTTGAGGATAGTTTGTGGGCTGTTGATTTTGGGCTTGAGTATTAAGATAATGGGTTTAAGGGTTATTATATTGTAATTGGTTTGGGGGAGGCGGCACAAATTGGGTGTTATATCTTTCTCTGCAGGTGGTGGCTTTGTGACCAAGATGGCGGCAAAACTGACAATGAGGGATCCCATGGCAACGATTTCAGCTACCCATCGGTGAGAAGGGAGTTGATGGAGGAGTAGGGAAAAGCCCATTCAGCTGGCCATAAGGAGATCCCATCCACGAGTTTGACTTCCCTTGTGGAGGTCATTGGTGGTGGAATGGTTATGGAGTCGAAGAGGAGACGAACTGGCCGGGGTACGCGGCGAAAGCGGCTGGCTGTGGCTGTACATAATCAAAATGGGAGAGATCCAATCGGCCTTCATAAGATAAGAGCAACCTGTGGAGATCATTTCTGGTGAGTTGGGCAGTGCGGGTATGGACCGAGATTGTCGTTGCTAATTGAGAGAACTCAACGCCGAGGCTGCGAAAAAGGTGAGTTTGATATTCATTTTCTAAAATTGGTTCACCAATTGCAGACAATTGATTGGAGATGCTGGTGGCTTCTTGTAGGAACTCTATGACTGATCGATTTCCTTTTTTCATAGACTGTAATTGTAGTCGAAGTGAGGTAGCACGAGCTTTTGATTGGGCAGCATAGGTCGCAGCAAGATATGTCCAAACTGATGTCGAAGTTGTGTGATTTGTGAGCTAGGTAACAATTTGTGTGGTTGATGTCGCTAGTATCCAGCCAAGGGCTTTTTGGTCTCGAACAAGCCAAGAACTATATGCTGGGTTCAAAGTAAGGGGAGGGGCAGAAGAATTGGTGGTGCCGTCGCTCGTTTGCTGCTGAAGGAGCTATGGTGGTGAAGGTTCAGAGCCATCAACAATT